ATACACTAAAGAATTTGATATATATACACTAAAGAATTTGATATATATACACTAAAGAATTTCATATATATTCACTAAAGAGTTTAATATATATATACACTAAAGAATTAAATTATTATCAAGTTGCTTGCTTTGACATAGAGAACTATGATTTGTGTTTGCTCAAGACTTACTTTCATCCATTACAACAACAAGCACACTGTAATTTGCATAAATGTTAATCTTAACATTTCTCTAGTTCAATTTTTAAGTAAATAATGTTATGAACGGATTAAGTAAAAAATAAAAGTAGTTCAAACACAACCAGCTTGTGGCCTCAAAAGTTCACTTATTTCTGTCTAAATGTGATTTACTCAAGAAAACAAGAAAACATAGGATCAGTGTTCAGTAACATAAACATTGGATCAGTCTGTAATCACCTACACAAAGGATCAGTCTGTAGTCACCTACACATTGGATCAGTCTGTAGTCACCTACACAAAGGATCAGTCTGTAATCACCTACACAAAGGAACAGTCTGTAATCACCTACACATTGGATCAGATTGTAGTCACCTACACAAAGGATCAGTCTGTAATCACCTACACATTGAATCAGTCTGTAGTCACCTACACAAAGGATCAGTCTGTAATCACCTACACAAAGGAACAGTCTGTAATCACCTACACATTGGATCAGTATGTAGTCATCGACACATTGGATCAGTGTGTAGTCACCTACACAAAGGAACAGTCTGTAGTCATCTTCACAAAGTATCAGTGTGTAGTTACCTACACATTGGATCAGTCTGTAGTCATGGACACATTGGATCAGTCTGTAGTCACCTACACATAGGATCAGTCTGTAGTCACCTACACAAAGGATCAGTCTGTAGTCATCGACACATTGGATCAGTCTGTAGTCATCGACACATTGGATCAGTCTGTAGTCTCCTACACATAGGATCAGTCTGTAGTCACCTACACATAGAATCAGTGTGTAGTCACCTACACAAAGTATCAGTCTGTAGTCCCCTACACAAAGTACCAGTCTGTAGTCACCTACACAAAGGATATGTCTGTAGTCACCTACACAAAGGATCAGTCTGTAGTCACCTACACATAGAATCAGTGTGTAGTCACCTACACATTGGATCAGTCTGTAGTCATCGACACATTGGATCAGTCTGAAGTCATCGACACATTGGATCAGTCTGTAGTCTCCTACACATAGGATCAGTCTGTAGTCACCTAAACAAAGGATCAGTGTGTAGTCACCTACACAAAGTATCAGTCTGTAGTCACCTACACACAGTATCAGTGTGTAGTCACCTATACAAAGTATCAGTCTGTAGTCACCTACACACAGTATCAGTGTGTAGTCACCTATACAAAGTATCAGTCTGTAGTCACCTACACAAAGGATCAGTGTGTAGTCACCTACACAAAGAATCAGTCTGTAGTCACCTACACAAAGTATCAGTGTGTAGTCACCTATACAAAGTATCAGTCTGTAGTCACCTACACAAAGTATCAGTCTGTAGTCACCTACACAAAGTATCAGTGTCTAGTCACCTACACAAAGTATCAGTCTGTAGTCCCCTACACAAAGTCTCAGTGTGTAGTCACCTATACAAAGTATCAGTCTGTAGTCACCTACACACAGTATCAGTGTGTAGTCACCTATACAAAGTATCAGTCTGTAGTCACCTACACACAGTATCAGTGTGTAGTCACCTATACAAAGTATCAGTCTGTAGTCACCTACACAAAGGATATGTCTGTAGTCACCTACACAAAGGATCAGTCTGTAGTCATCTACACATTGGATCAGTCTGTAGTCACCTACACAAAGGATCAGTCTGTAGTCACCTATACATAGGATCAGTGTGTAATCACCTACACATAGGATCAGTGTGTTGTTGGATCAGTGTGTAGTCATCTACACATAGGATCAGTGTGAAGTCACCTACAAATTAGCTCAGCCTGTACTAACATACACATAGGATCAGTCTGTACTCACATACACATAGGATCAGTCTGTACTGACACATACACATAGGATCAGTCTGTACTCACACATACACATAGGATATGTCTGTACTCACACATACACATAGGATCAGTCTGTACTCACACATACACATAGGATCAGTCTGTACTTAAACATACACATAGGTTCAGTCTGTACTCACACATACACATAGGATCAGTCTTTAGTCACTTTCATATAGGACCATTATATATTACTTACAACATAAATGTGGTGAAGACAAATAGCAATGTGGCGAATATAACACGTTGACACTTGGCTCTTTTTGGGTCCATATCTGACTTTGACTTTCCACATGTTTTACAACAACAAAAGGCACAGCACCAAATACATCCAAATATGGGCATGAACAGAATGAACATCAGGCCAATGATGATACAGGCAGCAAAACCACCAAAAACCTTGGCCAACTACAAAACAGGAAAAAATTCAACGTCATTACTGTGGATTGCAATGTTACAATGAACACACTAATACTGTTCAACTATACAGATTAGACTTTTCATGTCATATGTACCGTAAATCTGGCAACTTTTGTCCGATCAAACTTTCGGGATTCTCAAGTAAAATTTATGTTCATGCAGTGTTATAATTTACCAGCAGTGTTATAATTTACCAGCAGTGTTATAATTTACCATTTACATGCAATAACTATGGTATGCTGTGTACCAATATAACAATAATTACCACCGGTATAAGAAGGGTTGGGGTGGGGTGCGAAAAAGGTAATGCTATACACTCGTGAACATCTCCCAAATTTACCAGTGTACAGTGTTCCAAACAGAGGACCTCACAGATAAGGTAATGCTATACACTGGTGAACATCTCCCAAACTTACCAGTGTACAGTGTTACAAACAGAGGACCTCCCAGATAAGGTAATGCTATACACTGGTGAACATCTCCCAAACTTACCAGTGTACAGTGTTACAAACAGAGGACCTCACACATAAGGTAATGATATACACTGGTGAACATCTCCCAAATTTACCAGCGTACAGTGCTACAAACAGAGGACCTCACAGATATGGTAATGCTATACACTGGTGAACATCTCCCAAATTTACAGTGTACAGTGTTACAAACAGAGGACCTCCCAGATAAGGTAATGCTATACACTGGTGAACATCTCCCAAATTTACAGTGTACAGTGTTACAAACAGAGGACCTCCCAGATAAGGTAATGCTATACACTGGTGAACATCTCCCAAATTTACCAGTGTACAGTGCTACAAACAGAGGACCTCACAGATAAGGTAATGCTATACACTGGTGAACATCTCCCAAACTTACCAGTGTACAGTGTTACAAACAGAGGACCTCACAGATAAGGTAATGATATACACTGGTGAACATCTCCCAAATTTACCAGTGTACAGTGCTACAAACAGAGGACCTCACAGATAAGGTAATGCTATACACCCATACCGTTGTGATTAGTTATTACTTCTTTGTTAATTTATATATAAAACTAAAAAAACACCAACAAGGCAAATATGTCTGATCATCACTGATGTTTTCAAGCCTTGGGGTCATCTTCAACATATCAATTATATGGAAAATGGCCAGACGGCTTGAATACATTGATCAACTATATTTGCTTTGTTGGTGATTTTATTAGTCTGCATATCTGAATGATACAACAAGTCTTCATCAGACTGAACTACTATATATTTTCTTTGTATATACAAAAACTATAAAACAACAAGAAGACTGATTCTCACGGCCCTCCACTGCTACACAGCTATGTGATCAGGAGAATGATTTAATTTTGTTCTTGTATATTTTGTAATATAATAAAATATTTAGAGCTGTTGAAGAAATAATAATATATATTTACATTTGCATGGCATTGTCACTATATAGCCTCTTTGAAAGCTTTGTCGTTGATGGGACTTTAATTACTATGCATCACGAGACACAATTCTTAGCGTATTAATACAACACTGACCGGAACTACAATATCCAATATAAATAAACATGACGGCTGCTGAAATATCGCTGGGCATTGTGAAATTTGACAATGTCATTGTAAATTAATGTGCAAAATAAAAAATAAAATAAAAAACACCTTTATTACAACGAAAACAAGACCAAGGTCTGCAATATCGTACAAAATGCACATCGGTTGAATTCACAAATGCCGGCAACGGAAACAATTTGTTCCGGCAGAAAATCGAAACAATTTCAAATCTAACTTTCAGCTCAGAGTTCTATTGATAAACTTAAATAGACATATCATACGCAATTGGTATTGATACTGAATTGTGGAATAAAATTGAAGTGTTTGTTAAAATTTCAATGTACAACTTTGTTTGCCGATCAGCACGCGACAATACGCTGTTCAAACTATTGAACGAAATTGTGTGGACTGTCGATAAGGCGGGCATTTTTAATTTTGAATATAAATTATATGTTAAAAAAGAACATAAGAGGCAGAGAAAACGTAAATATAAGTATTGAACTGTTTTTGTATGGTATTTATGATCTATTTGAATGACACAGCTTTGCAAGCAAACAAATCATAATGCGCGCTATAGTTCAATGCTTAAATATAGTGGTAATATATTATATTTCTTCAACCCACTCTAAACATGTTATTCTATTAAAAAACATACAATAGCATAATGAATTTAACATGGACTTTAAGATAATTTTACCAAAGTTGATCCAGAGATAATAAAAAATCTTTTTACCTATTTTATGACCCTGTTTAGCGGTCTAATCGTACACTTGAGATTTGAGCACGCCTTTGAAGTACAAGTGTTCAAACATTGTCAAACATTCTATAGAGCTCATGGATAACTTGGGCTGGTGACAGTGCACTGTACTGGTTTAAAACACTTAAATTAGATATATCTAGACCAGGTATATTGGGAAATTTATTTAGTTTTATATAATAAACTATTACAGTACGATCGATCCCATCACTTATCTACTGTCAAGTCTTATAATGTATTTCCCTTTTAAATTTATGTTATTTCCTCTAGATTTTTAACGACACAATGACAGGATGCAATTGCAACCTTTTGTAGAGAGTGAGAACATCTTAATGCCAATTCCAATAACTTTCTCAGATATGATATGTATAATTACACCAACCATGACTGGTGGTATCGGGGAATGTGGATAAGATATCCTTGCTTTAAAATCATTGAGGTCTGAGGATCAAATCCCTGTGTTATATAGCAGATGGGGGGTTTTATGGAAAAAAGAAAATTATTATAAATGTATCACTTTCATTTATAAAACTTTCCAATAGTGAATTATACACAAACTGAAACTCTTCTGTGTTGGAGACTCAGAGTATTGGGACTTTCTGCTATAACCTTAAGTGGTTAACTCATTCACCCCTGAAGACATATTTGAACTCTTCCAATTCAAAGGTTGAAAGAGATCATTATGAACTTTCAGGGTGAATGAGTTGAAGTATATACATATACTATATTACAGTAACAGGTTCACATATTGTAGTTTGAGTTAGTCACCGTGATACTCACATCTTGCCATCGATCCTGGAGTTCACTGTATGTCCCATTCTGTATGATTCTGTTAAGGTCTTTGTAGGCTATAAATATACAAAAGTGAATCAGTATTTTTATAATTATCTAAAGGAACAAAGATGCATCAATTTTGTTATAACATATACAGGCACAAAGGTGTATCAATATTGTTATATAACATATACAGGTACAAAGGTGTATCATTATTGTTATATAACATATACAGGTACAAAGGTGTATCAATATTGTTATATAACATATACAGGTACAAAGGTATATCAATATTGTTATATAACATATACAGGTACAAAGGTGTATCATTATTGTTATATAACATATACAGGTACAAAGGGATGTCATTATTGTTGTAATTACATTAGTGACATAACAACAGTAACAATGTAGATAAATAGCAGTACAGGTACAACTTATTTTACCTACTTATTGTGGGTTTTTTACTGTTATGAACCATATTTCACAATGTCTTATAAACATAATTATGTCTGTGTATTACATGCCACATTAAACAATATCTTACAGGGCATATTTCAAAACCATACAAATAAATCTGGACAAATCATCATGTTCAGATATATCACTGTGTCTGAATAAATCACTGCCTAGATTTAGTCACCATACAAGTGCATGCCTAGATAAAATTATTCAAACTCAAGAACTTCTTTCCTTTGATGAGGGCCAAAAATCTTGTGATTTTCATGAACTCAATTGGGTTGAAGATTTACCAGGGGTTACTTGTCGACTGTAGCAGTATTTATCTAGATATAGATACACTCTATTGTTTTCAGAGGAATTTTCACTTCAATTTAACTTTCATCTTTTTATCTCTCCAAACTGCAGGCGTATTCAACCTGACAGCAAATATCTGTACCTATTACTTCATGTATTACACATGAACAGGGAAATAAACGCTGGGCTAATATGGATTTTACTAGTGAAGGGGGGAATTTGTCTGTGCACAATGTCTCTATATACGGTATAGTGTATTGCATTCCACATTAACCACGCCATAGTTGTGTCTATATTTAAATATCAGTGTAGAATGATACATCACACATCAACTTCCCTGTAGTGTGGTGTAAACCTAAATGTCTGGGTAGACTATTACATCACACATTTACTTTGCCAGTGATATCTGTACTTAGATATTTTTGTCAACTGAAACACTATACATAAATCAGTTTTCATGCACATTACAATAAAAACATATAAACAATTTAAAAATCCATGATGAATTTCATTTGAGAGTCACAATGGGGTGAGGAGTAATGGGTGAAGATGGTAGTACCAGTACTGAACAAAACATCCTTAATACATCTTTTATGAATGGAGAATCCTCAGAACTTCAGTGGTAACTAAATAAGTCACTGAGGATTGTACAGAAAGTTGGGGCAGTGATAAAGGAAATATCTTATCAGCAAATGTATAAGTATCAGTGATGGCGGGAGCATCCTTAATACTTCAGAAATAAGTCTGATCATATTAGTTGCCAACAATTCAGTGATGGAGGGAGCATCCTTAATACTTCAGAAATAAGCCTGATCATATTAGTTGCCAACAATTCAGTTTTGGAGGGAGCATCCTTAATGCTTCAGAAATAAGTCTGCTCATATTAGTTGCCACCAATTCAGTGATGGAGGGAGCATCCTTGATACTTCAGAAATAAGTCTGCTCATATCAGTTGCCAACACTCCATGTGATTTTCGAACTTGGAACTGAGTCATCAGATACACAGATCAATAGAAGCCATAACATATCTCTATACAGTACACTCTATAGTAAACATGTTCATTTCATCCTCAGATAAGCTGGATTATATATTTTATAGATGGAGTACCATTACCTAGGTTTATCAGTGACAGCAGACTTCAGTGATAACAACAAACTAGGTATCACCTTGGCCTGGTGTGGTCCACAGCTACGAAGGGGGACACATTAACATTTCCATTATGTCCCTGTAGGTGGGAATATTTTGTAAGACACCTGTAGAAGGGGAGCTATAAAATTGACATGACAGTGTGACATACCTGTAAGGGGGGCAGTATTTTAGTCCAGTGACTGAAGGCCTAGGCAGTGTTTGACTTCTGTTGGAGAGTGAGACTCCAGTATGAGGGGCAGTATGAGAATCCTGTTGTAGTGCGAGACTCCAGTGTGAGGGGAAGTGTGAGATTTCTGTTGAAGTGTGAGACTCCAGTATGAGGGGTAGTGTGAGACTCCTGTTGGAGTGTGAGACTCCAGTATGAGGGGCAGTGTGAGACTCCTGTTGAAGTGTGAGACTCCAGTATGAGGGGCAGTGTGAGACTCCTGTTGAAGTGTGAGACTCCAGTATGAGGGGCAGTGTGAGACTCCTGTTGAAGTGTGATCCTCCAGTATGAGGGGCAGTGTGAGACTCCTGTTGAAGTGTGATCATGAGACTTCAGTATGAGGGGCAGTGACTGACTCATGTTTGAGTGTGATCATGAGACTTAAGTATGAGTTTGAGTGTGAGACTCCAATTATGATGAGGGACAGTGTTTCCTTTGAAGGAGAACCAGTGAAAGATTTGTTTTAGTAATAGACTACTTGTAGTCATATATAATTCAGAATGGGAGTGGTCTCTGCAAATAAACTTCATATTTTTCATTTTTGATAAAGCAAAAATTCAGCTTTAAAGGCAGAACTGTGTTATCAATGGTATTAACATAACAATAGATACAGCCAATCTGCTACAATTAGAGGCAAATAAATGGAATCTGCCTGTGTGAACGTCTATGTAGGTGTAACGACCAATATGTGTAGGAGATGAGGATGACTCTCAAACCTGTTGCAGTTGTGGTAATATCAATAACAAGATTCAATAAGTTTCTGTCAGTCTCAGCGACAGATGGTTCAACAATCAAGTAGTTTATGATAATTATCATAAACCAGTTTACTATGTATACAGTACAATGACGATGGATTTGTGTACACTGTAGAGTGTTCAATGTACAACAGATACAAAGTTACGTATATCATAGCCTATTTAATATTCTGACTAGCATATAGTTGACACATGAATTATTCTGGTACAAGCAGATACATATAAAGAAGAAAACAATTGAACCCTATTTTCTCCCACTTTTGACTTAATTGTCTCCTTTTTTTCCAATTCAAAATTTCTCTCTTACCCCCTAGGGTATGACAGACTGCACACAGAAAGAAACAATACTATGACATCACGGGGCGATTTATTTGGCTGTATAACCCATCAATAGAGGAAGATTCTACTAATCTTGCGTTGATAGAGCATGTTGGACATATTACCATGTCTCAGGACAATGTCTGATGGATAACAAATCCATTCTTACCTTCCAATGATAAGACATGTGGATCACATCACCATACAATGATTAGACATGTGGATCACATCACTATACAATGATTAGACCTGAGGATCACATAACCATACAATGAGTAGACATGTGGATCACATCACCTTCCAATGATTAGATATGTGGATCACATCACTATACAATGAGTACACATGTGGATCACATAACCATACAATGAGTAGATATGTGGATCACATCACTATACAATGATTAGACATGCAGATCACATAACCATACAATGAGTAGACATGTGGATCATATCACCATGCAATGATTAGACATGTGGGTCACATAACTATACAATGATTGGACATGCAGATCACCAAACCATACAATGATTAGACATGTGGATCACATCACTATACAATGATTAGACATGCAGATCACATAACCATACAATGAGTAGACGTGTGGATCATATCACCATGCAATGATTAGACATGTGGGTCACATAACTATGCAATGATTGGACATGCAGATCACAAAACCATACAATGACTAGACATGTGGATCACATCACCTTCCAATGATTAGATATGTGGATCACATCACTATACAATGATTAGACCTGAGGATCACATAACCATACAATGAGTAGACATGTTGATCATATCACCATGCAATGATTAGACATGTGGGTCACATCACCATACAATGATTAGATATGAGGATCACATCACTATACAATGATTAGACCTGAGGATCACATAACCATACAATGAGTAGACATGTTGATCATATCACCATGCAATGATTAGACATGTGGGTGACATAACTATACAATGATTGGACATGCAGATCACCAAACCATACAATGATTAGACATGTGGATCACATAGCCATACAATGATTAGACATGTGGGTCACATCACCATACAATGATTAGACATGTGGGTCACATCACCATACAATGATTAGATATGTGGATCACATCACTATACAATGATTAGACATGTGGGTCACATAACTATACAATTATTAGACATGTGGATCATATCACCATGCAATGATTAGACATACAGATCACATAACCATACAATGTTTAGACATGTGGGTCACATCACCATACAATGTTTAGACATGTGGGTCACATCACCATACATTGATTAGACATGTGGATCACTTTGCCATACAATGATTAGATATGAGGATCACATCACTATACAATGATTAGAAATGTGGATCACATAACGATACAATGATTAGACGTGTGGGTCACATCACCTTACAATGATTAGATATGAGGATCACATCACTATACAATGATTAGACATTAGGATCACTTTGCCATACAATGATTAGAGATGTGGATCACATAACTATAGAATGATTAGACATGGGGATCACATAACTATAAAATGATTAGACATGTTGATCATATCACCATGCAATGATTTGACATACAGATCACATAACCATACATTGATTGGACATGTGGGTCACATCACCATACAATGATTAGACATGTGGATCACATAACTATACAATGATTAGACATGCGGATCACAAAACCATACAATGATTAGACATGTGGATCACTTTGCCATACAATGATTAGACATGTGGATCATATCACCATGCAATGATTTGACATACAGATCACATAACCATACAATGATTAGACACGTGGATCACACCAATGTAATGAATTGGATGAGGCAAATATTATACAGATTGTATAAACTATTGAATTATTT